GGGAGATGCTCGGCATGCTGTCCCTCTTCGACCCCCCTCGTTCTGATACCGGCCAGACCATCCTCGAGGCCCAGGCTCTCGGTCTCCAGGTCAAGATGCTTACCGGTGACGCCCACGCCATCGCCGTCGAGACCTGCCGCATGCTTCAGCTCGGTACCAAGGTTTACAACTCCGACAAGCTTCTTCACTCCGACATGGCTGGCACTTCCATCCACGATCTCTGCGAGCGTGCCGACGGTTTCGCCGAGGTGTTCCCCGAGCACAAGTACCAGGTCGTCGAGATGCTTCAGCAGCGTGGTCACTTGACTGCCATGACTGGTGACGGTGTCAACGATGCTCCTTCCCTGAAGAAGTCTGACTGCGGTATTGCCGTCGAGGGTGCCACCGAGGCTGCCCAGGCTGCCGCCGATATCGTCTTCCTTGCTCCCGGTCTCTCCACCATTGTCTCCGCCATCAAGCTGTCTCGCCAGATTTTCCAGCGCATGAAGGCCTACATCCAGTACCGTATCGCCCTTTGCCTGCACTTGGAGATCTACCTGGTCACCTCCATGATCATCATCAACGAGACTGTCCGCGCCGACTTGATTGTCTTCCTTGCTCTCTTCGCTGATTTGGCCACCATTGCCGTCGCTGTAAGTATCTGTCTCACGCAACACATTCACTTCATGTCACTAATCAAACCAATAGTACGACAACGCCCATTTCGAGAAGCGTCCCGTCGAGTGGCAATTGCCCAAGATCTGGATTATCTCCATCGTTCTCGGCTCTCTCCTCGCTGCCGGCACCTGGATTCTCCGCGGTACCATGTACATCACCGAGGGTGGTGTCATCCACGACTACGGTTCCGTTCAGGAGATTCTCTTCCTCGAGATCTCCCTCACCCAGAACTGGCTCATCTTCGTCACCCGTGGCTTCGACACCTTCCCCTCCTTCCAGCTCATCGGTGCCATCGCCGCCGTCGACGTCCTGTCCATCCTTTTCTGCGTCTTCGGTTGGTTCTCTGGCGGCCGCGGCGAGCCCGCCTCCCCTCCCTCGCTCAACAAGTTCCTGTCCGAGAACGGCCGCACCGACTTCGTCACCGTCTGCGTCGTCTTCGTCTACTCCGTCGCCGTCACCATCGTCATGGCCCTGGTCTACTACGTCCTGACCAACCTCCGGGTCCTCAACGACATGGGCCGCAAGAAGCGCAGCGTCACCGACACCCTCATCGAGAACGTCCTTACTCAGCTGAGCAAGGTCGCCCTCGAGCACGAGAAGGACGACAAGGGCGAGCGCTTCTACATTGCCAACCGTGCCGTCGTCGAGGAGGGCTAAGCGTCCTGAGTCGAGCAATTGGAGAGAGTTTCGACCAAAACATGAAAGAAATCAAAAAAATCAACACAAAAATTAGACATCATGTTATTAGGAGCGCGCGCGGCAGAGCAGTCACAAACAAAGCGTGTTTTGAACGGCATCGAGTTTCACAACAAAAAATCCATTTCTGAAATCATTTTTTTTCCATATCCCACTATAGAGAAAGAAGAAGGCGATGATACTTCTTAGGTGCGAGGAAGAGAGAAAGACCAGCCAAAAGGGAAAGGCGAGGGACACACCAACCTCTAGATGACGCGCTTGGTAATATTTGGCGACATCGACACGACTGTCACTAATGACCCATTTTCACGAGCAGTTTTCTATAATGTAACAAAAAGACCGTCATGTTCATTGTTGTGGCGTTGATCGGGTCAAGGGTCGGTCGGTTAATTCAATTAAATCTGAACAAGTTAAAACAAATCTGCGAGTTCCTTCAATCGTGACATGTATGCAATCTTCTCAACTCGATATCACACTATGACATTGTCATGTATTCCGACTACGATTCAAAGCCCAATATCTCCCCCTCGGGAGACTGACAACATCCTTCGGCCCGATCTTTATTACAAGGCGAGAAAAAGACAGCCCAAATCCCAAGAGTCCTAGAACTGGAGAGAGACCCTGGACACCCTTGCTTCCCGTCCGAGAAGTAACACCCCATTGGGCCTAACCTACACAGTTCAACCTTTTCCGCAACTACGGCTGTTTCTGACCACCAGACACTCGGACCGCTTCATGCGTAAGCCGTCCTCCTCTTCCTCTTTTCTCTCTCTTCTCTCCCCACCGTAACCTCTCCGACCTCCGGACTTTCTCCCGTGTTGTTGGGAACGCCGTGCAGGATGAGTGGTTGGTGGTCCATGTTCCCACCCTTTCGACGACGGCCAAGATCCGTCCACCGGTAGCGTTTTTTTTGTTTTCCCTCGAGTCGGGACGACGGAGAAGGAGGAGGATGGACCTGGAGGGTGACGCGAGGCGGCGAGGATGAGAGAGGCGAAAAGGCGAGAAGCGGGAATCCCGGGATGAGAGTTTAGGCATGATGGCATTGAGACGTCGGGCTTGCCCCCCTTCCCCCCCTCCTTCTCACTCTCTGTGCGGTTTGTTAGCCGTTACTCGTGTGTATGCCTTACGACATCCTGATGGATGTTCCTGATGGATGACGAAGACCATTCTTTTTTTTCCCCCTGTGTCCCAGCTCTTTCTGAATCACGCTTTTCTGATTCACGGGTCGATCGCTCAAGTCAGACACTTTCTCAACCCCTTGGATCCTGCTTCGGTCAACCGATAACGCGAGATGCCCGAGGGGGTCCAAGGGGTGGTGCGGATGGGCCAACACTTGGTCAAGACTGAAAAGAAGCCTTTTTCTCGTCTTCTCTCCGTATTCTCGTTTTTCCCCTTACACCGGAGCACGAAAGATTATGCGGGCTTACTCTTTTCACGAGACGATATGCACAACACGTCTTGAGACGTTTTTTGTTGGCCCCCTTGGAGTTGGTCTTTGCTCGAGGGGACGGAGGGATGAAGTCGCTAATTACTAGTTTGGTCACTTGCACAGCACTGCTTCGTTCACCCTCTACGTTGACCTTTTCGCGAGATGAGTCCTGATCCCACCGGTGTAGATGTTCGATGAAGTCAAGCAAGACTTAGCAGCGGTGCATATGCGGTCTGCCGACTTGTCAGCCACTACGTCGGAAGACCGGGCATCAATCACGCCGCAGACGTTTCTTATCCCATCGGTATCTCTTGCTATACTAGGAGAGGCTCTTTCATGGAGTTGTTCAGTTGCTACTGAGGATCGTTGATGCTGACTTATACACCACGCCTGGTCAAAAGTTCGACTACACCGTGGAGCCCGTGCCTAATCCCCGGTCCAAATATGCAGCTGTAAGCCCCATCCACACTTCGACGTGCCAGTCACGTGTTGGCCAGTTCCAACGACACGCCTCTTCGACACGGTGCATTATTGCCAAATTTTAAGAATGTATTACTTTGTCAACTTTGTAATTTCTCTACGGCTCCTTCAAGCAGGCTAAGTAGTCAATCATTCAGATAAGGAATGTATCTGCCGCCACTCATGTGAAATACCGTCCTACTCGTCGCCGGATAACGAGAAAGTTCCATCGTTGTTGTGATCGATCTGTATCTCCCGGTTGTCGTCGGTGAACTCGACCTCTATCCAGTCAGATGGCTTCTGTGAACTGAGATCCAAGATTGTTCTTGGTTTGCTAGTCGACTTTGTAATCCTCCATTTGTTAGACATTGGTGCCAGGTTAAAACTCTGGCTGGGGACTGCTTTCCACACGACGATTGGCACAATGCCTACTCCCACCGGCGCTGGCGCACCAAGGCCAACAAATGGTCGTGCTATTGAGATAAAGGCATCAGTTCACCGCTGACACAATTCATCTCGAGGTTGTATCATACGAGGTATAGGAACCTTCATCATGACGTACCTAGAGTATCGCTGGGAAAGCTTCCGCACGAAATGCGAATGGAGGCGTCTCGTGACTTGCTGTTCACATGTACACCGCTTGAACTAGTTGTCAAATATGGCGCTGCGTCTTGAGTCAAGGTCATAGTGCAACTCGTTTCGGGTTTCTCAGCGAGATAGGCGTTGCACGTATCAGTTGCGTAGACCTCCAGGTTTGGCTCCAACTGGTGATTGGGGGAGCCTGTGACCACGACAACTGGGTGCGTACCGACACCTTGCATGGCAATCCCAAACACAGTGGAATCTGTTTGCGCATTTATTGACTTGCTCTGTTGGTATACGCAGGTGAAGACGTTCGAGTCGCCCGGGTCGTCCGGTATAAATTTTGGTGGAGATGGATACAAGATGAAGGAAGTTGCGTTTGCGCTGAGATTACTCACATTGATAGTCCAACGCACGTCGAGCCATTTTGGCGCCAGCAAAGAATGATAGATTTGGGGCTCCTCCATTAATAGAGCCATTGTGTAGTCGACGTTGATGTCACTGGAATCATTATCCTCGGTAGATGAGGCTGAATCCATGCTGACCTCTGTGTAGCGTTCAGGATTGAACAACTTTATATGATGGGGAGAGTGAAGGCCGACGGCGGTTGAAATTTGAGAATTGGGCGTAAGATGAAAGAGAGAGCTTGTCTTTCGCATTGAGAATGGAGGGAAAGTTGTGAGTGCGGAGCGACTCATTTACAGGCCGAGCCCAAGAGATTGCAACATTCTGTAAGGGGATTGGGGTTGTGACTGGCCATGGACTTGATTGGGCGCCTCATATGCTACTTGATTCATATTCAGGTTGCAAAAGATGAAAACATATCAAGCTAGCCCTCCGTGTTGTAGCATTTCGCTACCTGATTGCCTCCTGACATTCATTGAGTTGGGGTGTGTAGGTGCCCGCTAATGTCAGTTGGCTGCACTTTCACGAACGAAAACGGGAGTTTCTTCCAGTAGTTGTATTCTGGGGTTTTATGGCAAGCGACCTAGGTCGTATTTTAAGTTTAAAAAACAGCAACAAAGCAAGCAGTTGTTTCCCATCTCGTCTCTCCTCAAATCCATTAACACCGATATCACTTCATAAGCTCCAGCAAATCATTCCGTAACATCCGCGACCATATCTCTGCATGCCTCACTAAGTACTACTGCATGCTTCTCTGGATAACGAAACATTCTTAAACCCCGTCAATGTTTCCGAAGCTCCAGTGGACGCCGTTCGACTCAACCTTGTCATCAGGTACGTAAGTGCCGTTGTTAGTGAGAGTGAAGGTGGCGTTTGGGATAGCTGCGCCGCTGAAGTCCACCTTCAGAACTTGGCCGATTGTGTTCCTGTCCACAACAACACCTGGTTCGAAGTTACCGAAGGCAATGTAGTATATGACCTTGGGAAAGATCTGGCTAGTGACACCTGGCTGGGCGAGCCAGGTCTGAATAGGAATCACTTCGCCAGTCTTCGGGTCTGGGGCGCCGCAACCGATGTAGATTTCATCTGCGAAACTTCAGCAAGTGAACTAGAGTCGTCTCGACTCTAATGGCAATGCAGGTCTTACTGGGATTGGGGAACTTGAAGGTGTTGTCGGCGCGAAGGTCAAAGCCGCCCTTGGCTTGGCTTGGGCCGTGTTAGCCATCTGGGACTGATCTCAAGTTGGGTCCATCCCATTGTGATCGACGGTGGTGACAACAGCAAGTGTTCCGTTGGGACCAAGCTTGGCAGGGACGGAGTCGCCAGTGTCAACACGGATGGCTCCATCTGCAGTTGCCTGAGAGGTACCATAAATGGCACAATACTGCTGCTTCATGGTGAAGTCGGTGTGGGCAGCACCCTTGCCATTGATGGTAGGAAACGCTGGTAAATGTTGGCGAATACATTCTTTTGATTGAGATTGCTTGGGACCGGCATATCCTGGAAAAGCAGAAACGCGCGGTCGCTGTTGGACTTGTTCTTGATTGTAATTTTGAAGCTCGCCATTTTGATAGTTTGGGTTGTGGCGACGGCCAAATGATGATTGTGATCTAGAAGTAGTATAGTAGTTGAGATATGAAGCTGATTGGGTTTCTGGGTGCTTCTCTTTGAATTGTTTTGGAGAGGGAACTGATAAAGCTTTTATAGTATCTTCAATGTCCAAGGTTGGCCGACTCTTACCAACCCAAATCTTCGAGCCTCATGTAGTCTATAGTGCGGTTAAAGATTACACATCCTGTCTGGCTGCATTCCTCCCCTTTGGTTTCGCGGCATTCCCATGTAAACAAGTGTGTCGAAGAGTGTCACTCCAATCAGTTCCACCACGTCAGCCCATTCTTGCCTCTCGCTTCATGCTTTGGGCTTTCGGGGTGTACTAAGAAAGAGCTGCAAATGTTGATGCGTAATCTGAATCAGAAGGTTGTGTCGATCGTGTGATGATGTTGCGCCATTTGTCGTTTGAACATGTTTGCAATACCAAGTGGCTTGCATGGGTGAAGGTGGTGAACACCTTACGTCTGACTGCATTCATAACCAACATGCCTTACTCTGAGAAGGCGAAGTACGCGCCAGTCAGACTTCGTGATAACCCACGGCACATCTAGGGCGACTACATGGTGGTAGTATCGACTTCTCACCGCCTTCTTGGAGGCACAGGGAATTTTGGCTTCAGAAGGAAGCCAACATACACATAACACTATGCTCACTTTCCACTTGAATGATGCGTTGAGGCTGCTTTCGACTTGTTGCTTTCATACTTCTTGATCTATTCGCTCGGGATTCGCCTGTATACGAGAAGTGATGTAAAGTCCAAGATGTTCTTGAGCTATCACATTCTTGGGCTGATAAATTTTGACGCCTCAGCTCCGGGTTGGGACTCAAGGGGGGCAGGTGGGCAATTTTGCTTAGGACCTCACACATTAGACATGCATGAACTGAATGCCAACGGAACAAAATGTTAAGGCATCGGTCGACAATGATGAACGATGTCGGACTTGGTCGAAGCTTAGTAAGACATAGAGCAATGCTATCTCGTGTTCTCTTCAGCTTTCTGTTCGCAAGCCTGGCGAGATATCAACAGAACAAGTAATCGTGTGGGGGCTTGAAGGTCTCGATCGTCAATATGCTTGATACACATCATTAAACACAGTCTCCGGAGCAGTATTGAGTAGTGACTTTGTGAAAGACATCCACAAGGCCAACCACCAGTATTCACGGTTCACGGCAGACCTCACTAACCCCTTGCAAGCTTCAATCATGCGACGTTGGGGTGGGAACGCGGGGAAGAACCTCAGCGTCGCGGTGGCGTACTTGCCGGCGGGAGCTGACGGGAGCTAGCGGGAGCTGAAATGAGACAGCAGGACTGCCATTAGTGCCGTTCGGTAGGGAAGAGCATTTCCGTTTTCGACAATGTATCAGCCGCTCAGTACCTATCATAGTACGGGAATGGCCGGTGAGCAGAGAGGTTCAGACTCAGATGATTATGCACGATATCCATGTCTTTTTTCGTTGCCTTATTCCACTATCCGAAATGTGTTCAAATGAGCTTGGTACAGCATCCTTGACCAAGCAGTATAGTGACTGAATGACCGCAAGCCTGAGCACTATCAAGCTTGGCTGCAACACTTTTCCAAGTCCGGTGATTGCGCACATACATCACACAACTCAGCCAGCCTCGTTGGAAACATCATACGATGTGGACATATTCGCGAAATGCTGGGTTCATGCTTTCTCAGAGCGGATACTTTGGACACCGTGCTAGTGCTAAGAAGAGTCCCTGGTTATAGTCGTCTGACGCCGGTGAATAAATAGGAGAGCTACTCAGATCACGCATAGCTACTAGCTTTGATTCCTTCCAGCTCGTCTGAACCTGATCCCAGATATTCATTACCATTACTAATTTGTCTTGCCGTAAAGTTGAACACTCAGTTCCTACTACCGCTTCGTCATGGGTTCCTTTAGCGTTGGAAGACCACAAGCAGCCCTCAACGCCATTCGAAATCTTCTGCTTGGGGGCGTTGGAATATCTAGTGAGTAGTCCTCGAGTTGCGGGCAGTCAAACGATAACCCAGCCATTGACATAATTTTAGCTGTTCCGACCGGACTCCTCTCTCGGCTCGTAGCCCCGGCACTTACCATCGATGCACCAGCAAGCCAGGGTGGAAGAATCCTAGAAGTGGCTTTCTGGGGTGGAATTATGTCTACTGTTGTGATTGTTGCTGGTGAGGATGATATGGACAAAATGAATTGCTGGGAGCAAGTACTTGGACTTGGCGGCCCACAGTCTCCCAAAATCCCAAACGAGAAACTGGATCTCTACCGCCAAAACGGCATGCCACTTCAAGACTTAGCCCAATACTGCGAGGTCATGGAGACTGGTAAAGACAGCAACATGACTGGTGCCGTGGCTTTGAAGAATAAGGCCTCGGAATAGTGAGTCATTTCCAGGCCCTTCTCACCTACGTAGGTAATCAGCTGACTATTGCCATTTCACAGCTTCTCTCTTGCCATCTCACTGAAGGTTCCAGCTGGGACATCTGAGAGTGGTCCCAACGCGAATGCGGATGTGCTCCTTGTTCATGCCTTCAAGGTCGAAACCAAGCGGAACTGATGTTAGGACGCCAGTCTAGTATGTGCCGCTGTACTTCGGCAGGAGTAGTTCCGTAAAAATGACAGACGCCATGTTAGCTACCCGACCATCTAACAAGATAGACCTAAGTCTATAATAAATCTAAGATAGTCTACTATCGATGTCATATTCATGAGCGAATTGAGTGTAGGTTATAGGGAGTACAGTCGTGCTGGTCTTTGCAGCTTTAGATACTGACTAAGACAAGGTACTACGGATACGGGGTGCTTGTAGTTGATCCCAAGATTAACTATCAGTTCATAATACAAAACAGCTTCTGTTTTGTTTATTGCGAAGATAGGGTGATGATTCCAGGTGTGCACCAGGTTGACGCAAAGATAGTTAGATGCTGAGCATGATGGAAAAAAAGCTGTCAAGTGTGGCCGAGACCTGACCTATCAGACAACTTGGAAGGACTTTTACAGATGCTCATTTCTCATTATATGTATATAATTCCAATGCCTTGGTCGAGTTGTTGGGTCGGTTGCTGCGCTGCCGCCCCCTAGCTTTTCTCGACTATATTTTCAACTTAGCATCGTCAAACCACCACATACGACCATACCCATTGGAAAACTCGGGATCCCGTCCGCTCTCCCATAGATAAGCCAATGAGGGCCGGATTAGTAGTTGGGTCGGTGACGACCAGCGAATACCTGGTGTTGTAT